GATTTGATGCATTTTTGGTCAGTTCAAGCATATATCTAAGAATAACTCGATGCTGTCATACAGACGATTTTTTACAACTTCTTAGACAGGCATGAAGTTAAAGGATGCAAAGAGAAGCAAAAATTTAAAAGGAAGTGAAATTTTGCCGAAAGCGAACTCATAATTTAGCAAACTCAATGTAGAAATAGTAAAAACGCAGTAGAAGTGGTTGGAAAATTTGAACTACATTACAAAACAAACAGTAGTAGTTGGCCAGCGCACTGACTGCCGATGCGAAGATGTGTTTTTTGCCCGGTTTTCCGCAAGTCTTTGTCATTAAGAGCGCTGTTTTTTTGGTACATGCTTCTAGCTGAAAGAATTGCGGCTGGACACCACGACTGTATGAAAACATCCCTTTAAAATTTTTAGCTATTCTGATTACAGGGTTAGCGACTTGCTAAAAATTTGCACGATCCCATACGTGATAACCATGAGCACCTAAGGGGAAAATTTGAAGCACCTAGGAGCACCTAGGGGTAGGTGCAAACTAAATTGCCAAAGTTTCATCCCTGTAGCTTTTCTGGGTCTCGAGATAAAAAATTAAAAACGAACACACACATACAGATAACCTCTCGACAGTATGCGTTTCTGCATTGCATAGATAAAACTACAATTCCGAGGAAAACTAATCCAAAATAATCCAACGATGCAAAACTGAAATGAGGACTGAGTTAAGAAGACTTGATGCGTCTAATTTTTCAGAAGTAGGGTACATCTCTTTCAAAAACAGGCGTTTATACGAGACAATATATATTCCTCCGGTTACGAGTTTCTGGTCGCTTCAACCCGATTCCCGTCTCTGAGAAACCTTTTTCCGAGAAACCAGAGCATCCAAAAGTGATCCCTGTGATAACATTTTATCGAGAGCAATCATCTATTGGTGAGGCAGTCGATGGTACAATTTTAAAAAAATTTTTTTTCGCTTTTGCGTGATGAATTATAATTATGAATTGGTCTTTGAACATTAATTTTATGGCTCATACTTGCGAATGTACATTTAACACAGTTGGAATTCTAGCCAGGGCTCTTTCTAGAGTGATGAATTATAACCATGAATTACATTTTGGCCATCAGTGTTTGGTGCTGTCCCATCTTTGGCTTCATTATTAGATCCATTAAATGATGCCCAGACATTTTTGTGAGCCTTAGCACTAGTGGACATGAATTTCCTCATTATTTCTTGGGAAATGAAGAATGCTGCATATAATCAATTTCCTTTCCTTCTTTGTTCCTTTCCATTCCATCTCATGTCACTTTTTCCTCCCTCCAAGGAGGATATAAATGGTCAGCGCACCGACTGCCGGTGCGAAGATGCGCTTTTTGCATAGGTACCCGCAGTTTTTTGTCACTAACGGCAACGTTTTTTCCTGCAAACTCTTCTAGCTAAATGAATTGAGACAGGACTGTCAGAAAACATCCCTTCAAAATTCTAGCCTCCTAGCTTTGCTGGTTTTAGAGTTAGCAACTTACCCGAAAAAAGCTTTCCCGTGTCCGTAAGTGAGAAGCACATGGGTAAAAGCGCCCGTTATGGAAATGGTGACCCACACGTGCATGTAGATTAAGTTCCCGAAGTCTCAGCCCTTTAGCTTTAATAGGTTTCGAGAGGAAAAATCGGTGCAGACGAACACACAGACACACACACACAGACCACCCCGTCAATATGCGTTTCTGCATTGCATAGCTGCAAAAACGCATAAAAATGAAAGTTTTCTGTTTAAAATGCTAACTAGGCCTTAAGTTTAAAACGGATGATTGAAAGTTTAAAACAATGCTTCTCCCTCACGGCACTTTTTAAATCACGAATTTCTGCTTCATGGTTTTTGTCCATTTCATCTTTTGGTACTTACTATGTTCTTATACATCATTCCTTCTCCTCCTTCCCTCTTCCATCTTTCTGTTTTTAGTCGTAAAATAATAAATAACAAAACAAAATTCAACGATTTTTGATTGCACCAGAAAGCTGCTCTTTTCTTTATAAGAACTACATGCTTACTAAAGGGCCTGAGGATCGATCGAGCGAAACATAGTCTGTGGATGGATGGCCTAGCTAAAGGATCCAAGTGAGTGGCAGCATTGCCGGCCAATTATTGATTCTATTTTATGGCCAGGTCTTGCTGCTCTTGCAGCTTCAAGCTGGCACTTTCTTATGAAATTTTCTTCTTGCACCGATGCTGCGATTAGTAGAGAGTTTATTGCTACATAGAATGAGTGGATTCGCTTGGGTATTACGTCTGGCTCAACCTCTGGATTTGTGAGCTTTCGCATCAGTTAAAAATTCATCGAGGTGTAGTTCATGTCCAGTACAACGAAAAAACGCTACGGAAGTCTATAGAATAAAAAATTATTAGGCTCTCAGACAGAAAACTGAGAAATTTACTGGAAAAAACAAATGTGATTTGATAATTTTTGTGTTTTCGAGTTTTTGCGCTTTGAGTTACAACAGCAATAGTTTGAGATTACGCTTGAAATAACAGGTCAGTGCGAGGTAAATTCCTAAAACAATGTTTTGTAGCTCTCTACTTACGATTTCGCACAAAATCGATCGGAGTAAATTTTCAGCCTTTTTGAGTTGTTTCTATCTGTAACTATGGCATCGGCTTGAAATGAAGTTTGGCTTTGCAGCTGAAATTCGGGTTGGCATTAGCCCGAACCTGAGGATTGAATTGCATTCAAGTGGAGGTCCGGCCGAGCATATATGCGGATTTGACATATCCACATAACAGAGGTCGTAAAAGACGAATGAGAAATAATTATACTATACAGAACGAATTTACAGAAACAACAAAAACTCGTTTATGGACTCAGATTAATGCATCATTTTCTTTAGGCGAATGGATGGCGAATGGACGGACAGACAGCACTCATTTATTTGTGTCACTTTTTTAAAAGCAGCGATGTGTCGTAAATTTTTGTAGCCCAAAAATCATGCTTGTTTAATGTTAGCGTGCGCAGTGCAGTGTCCTGAATATTTTCAGCTCTAATTGTTCT